CGATAGCAGGGGGGGGGCGCGTCACCAGTGGGGCCGCGCCAGCTGGGGGCCGCGTCAGCAGGGGCCGCACCAGCAGGGGCCGCGTCAGCTGTGGGGCCGCGTTAGCAGGGGCCACGTCAGCAGTGGGGCCGCGTCAGCAGTGGGGGCCGCGCCAGCAGGGGCCACGTCAGCAGTGGGGCCACGCTAGCAGGGGGCCGCGTCAGCAGTGGGGCCGCGATAGCAAGGGGGGGGGCCGCATCAGCACTGGGGCCGCGCCAGCAGGGGCCGCGTCAGCAGGGGGCCGCGTCAGCAGGGGCCGCGCCAGCAAGGGCCGCGTCAGCAGGGGGCCACGTCAGCAGGGGCCGCGTCAGCAGGGGCCTCGTCAGCAGGGGCCGCGCCAGCAGGGGGCCGCGCAAGTAGGGGCCGCGACGGGCTAGGGCCGCGACAGCAGTAGGGGTCGCGTCGGCAGCAGGGGCCGCGACAGCAGTAGGGGTCGCGTCAGGCAGTAGGGGCCGTGACGAGCGACAAAGGGGCCACGACGGGCAGGGCACGATGCACGCTTCGGGCAGGGCAGGAAAGGAAAAAATGTGGTGGGCCCTTAAAAAAAAAAAAAACGATCCCACTAGGGAACCTGCTCAGAATACCATGTTAGAATGTGAGCGAATGAATGACTGAACTAGAAAGCAGGTGGGTACATATGGGAAACCTAAAAGTGTTGTACCCTAGAAAAACTAACCCACTACAGCCTCAACAGACTATAGCATATAAGTTTGACATTACAGAGCGTCGTGAGCCTGCGTCTCTTCCTGTCTCGCCTGTTCGCACTGCTCGTCGTGTTCCTCGTTTGCGTCCTCCTCCTGTCCCCGGCACGCACGCTATGACCCTTTGTCCTTCCTCTGTTCCCCTGCGTGTTCCTCTGCCAGCTCCTCCTGAGTCCTCTCTTCCTGAGGTCCCTGACCCTGAGTCTGACCGCGCTCGTGCTGCTTGTCCCTCTGTCTCTCGTCTACTCGCCACAGCTGTCACAGATCCTTCGTTTGAGTCTACTGCTGTGTCTGCTCTCGTTGCTGAGCTGCTTGACTTTGCTGCTGCCTGCCGTCTAGACTACACCACTGCTCTAGTTGCTGCGTCTGCGTCTGCCAGTCCTCCGTCCGTCGAGGGTGAGTGTGCTCTTGGCACGGACGTCCTTGAGGACAGGCAGGAGGAGTTTGAGTGTCTTGCAGCTGCTGTACCTCGTTTCGCTTCCATGCTGCTTGCCCCTGAGGGAGACCCAGATGCACCTGACATCCTGACCCCGCGCTCTTACACAGAGGCGATTACGGGTCCATACTCCTCTCAGGGCAGGCAGCCATGGATGCTAAGATGGCATCCTGGAAGTCCACAGGCATGTGATGGTATGTGGATCTTCAGGGTGAAGCGGCCGCTGGGTTCTCCGCCTGCCTTCAAGGCGCGTTACGTTGCTCGAGGCTTCAGTCAGCGACAGGGAGTTGACTACTTCCAGACCTTCTCCCCCACCCCAAAGATGACTGCTCTTCGGTTGTTGCTGCTCGTCGCTGCTCAGCGTGACTACAAGTTGCACTCTCTGGATTTCATCACAGCTTTCCTGCAGGGCAGCCTGCACTCTGGCTGCGCCGCCCACCTGGTTTCACCGAGTCTTTTCCTGCAGGTACTCAGTGGAGTCTTCGGTGGCCAATCTACGGTCTCCGCCAGGCGCCTCGCGACTGGCACGACACACTGAGGACTACACTTGCGGCTCTTGGGTTTGCTCCTGCTACTGCTGACCTGTCGCTGTTTCTACGCACCGACACCTCGCTGCCGCCGTTCTACGTCCTCGTCTACGTCGACAACCTCGTCTTTGCCTCTGCTGACACTGAGGCACTGACCCTTGTGAAGTCGGAGCTGCAAAAGAGACACACGTGCACAGACCTGGGTGAACTGCGCAGCTATCTTGGCTTGCAGATCACCCGGGACAAAGCTCGGCGCACCATTACCCGGACTCAGTCACACATGGTGCACCAGGTCCTTCAGCGCTTCGGCTTCCAGTTCTCCTCGCCATAGTCCACTCCTCTGTCTACCAGCCACTCGCTCTCAGCTCCACCTTCGGACGAGTCTGTAGAGCCGAGTGGTCTGTACCCAGAGCTTGTGGGTTGCCTCATGTACCTAATGACGTGCACTCGACCTGACTTCGCGTACCCTCTCAGCCTCCTGGCTCGCTACGTGGCTCCCGGCAGGCACTGAAAGGTGCACTAGGATGCTGCGAAGAGGGTATTGCATTACTTGTGCAGTACGTCGGGCATGGGGCTTGTGCTTGAAGGACGGGGTCCAGTTGTCCTCACCGGTCACGCAGACGCTTCTTGGGTTGAGGACTCAGCTACGCAGCGGTCGTCACAGGGTTACTTTTTTAGCCTTGGCTCTGGCTCTGATTCCTGGCGGTTTACCCGCTCGTCTTCGGTTCTCAGCTCCAGTTGTGAGGCTGAGTTCTACGCCGGGGCCATGGCTGCACAGGAGCTACGCTGGCTCACCTACCTGCTGACCGACTTGGGAGAGCAGCCTCGTTCGCCTCCAGTTCTGTACGTAGACAACAAGGCCATGATGGCCTTGTGTCAGGAGCACAGACTGGAGCACAGAACGAAGCACATCGCTCTACGATACTTTCTTGCTCGAGAGTTGCAGCAGCGTGGCTAGCTTCGTCTTGCTTACGTGGCCACTAGGGCCAACACTGCTGATATATTGACCAAGGCACTTCCGCCTGGTGATCATCAGCGCTTCTCTACCGCGTTAGGCCTTGTTCCTACTTTTCCTCACTTGCTTACCGCTTGACTCTGCTTGTACTGTGATCTATATATATACCTGCATGCTTGCACTTGCTAGGATATGATCACTGTATGGTTTGTTCTCTTTTATATAACTCTACATGTGAACTAGCCTTGTGGCCCTTTGCTTGTGCTCGGACTGTGTGGTGACTTTGTGATCCACCCTGAGATTGCTTTGCTTTTCTTGACTGGTCTTGTGACCACTTGTTCTCCCCCACTTTGCCTATGGGGGTGTGTCAGAATATTTTAGTGCTTACATTTGTGTAGGCTATAGTGGGGTAGCCCATAAGGGGTACAGCCCAATTAGGGTTAGTACTTGTACCCAACTGTTTCATAGTTCATTCATTCTTGTTCATTACTTTCAACAGCAACTTCACTTGGGGGGTAGAAGGATTCCGAGGCCAATACAGCTTCTCCTGTGCCTGGAACCTTCCCCTAAGCATTTGCAGCTGTGTAGGCTTCTCCTGTGGGAAATGGGGAGCCTTAAGACTGCGCTGCTGGGAGATAATATTAACTCCTCGGAACGCTCGACCCTTTTCAATGCTCCGGAGCTGTTTTCCCAACTTTTCAGGTACCTGTACTATTTCTAAAGGCTTTCTCTTAGCCTCTAACTCCCCCTTCAGAATTTTCAGACGCTTGAAAACCACGAGAAGTAATATTCTTAGTTAAAGTATCTTCATGGGATAACTTTAACGAATTCTTACTCTCGAGGATGTTTGGCGGGAGTTTCCCGGTCGGTGGAGAGTCTTTTTTTGCGGAGTCTCCCTTCATCTTGGCGATTTCCCTTGGTGCCGGCCGGTCATGACGTTTTAAATTCGCGCCATCATTTTCTCTTTTTTTTCGCCTGCTCCGAAGTTGCAACGTCGTCGCCCTTTTCCCTTTTTTCGGATCTTTTCGCAATCGCCAACTCAATCCGCCGCTACTGACGATTCTCGTTTTTTTACTTCGGGGGTGTCACACTATTCTTGCCCTTAAGTTCCACACATTCTTTCTTCATTTTCCAACATGCCAAGATTTGATGTCCTGCTGCGCCGCAAAACTCGCATGTTTCAGATTTTGCCACCTGCTGCTTCGCGTCGATCTTGTCGATATCCATCGGGTCGACGATCGTGGGGGGTGCCGATCGCTCCGTGTCGAAATTCCTATTCGGCCCATTGCGTCGTGTTTTGTGTTGACCCTTGGTCAACGCGTCGAACCGTTCGGCTTTGCAGACCATGTCGCGGTAGCTACTGTAGTTCACTGCAATCACATGTCGGCAGACTTCATTTTTTAGTCTTGTAGTGTACGCCTGGATTTTTTCGCCTTCGGTCAGGTCGTGGATGCGATTGAAGAAATTCTCCATCTGCTGCGTGTACTGCGCTACACTACCGAATTGTCGGTGACGATGAATCTACTGCCGCGCCATGTACGATGAATTTATCGGCTCGAAACGTTTTATGAGGGCTGCCCGAAACTGCGCCCACGATCATTCGCCTAGGATTTCGCTGCTACTGTAGATCCACTCCAATGCCGGGCCTCGTAACAGTGTAGCCGTGAGCCGAATCCGCATCACGTCGTGTGTCGGGGTCGTGCATCCAACGGCCTCGAAATATTTTGAGGGTCGCGATGAATCTCTGTTGAAATACTAGCGTGACTTAGGAGCCATGGCTAGTGAGTGTCGAGAGAATTGAGTGTCGAGAGAATTGGAAAGGAGAATGAGGTTTCACTATAGAAAGTTGGGATAGAAATAGCAAACCCTAATTTTGGTTGTACTCACTACAAAGTACCCCACTGCAGGCTAAACAGCAAATACATTCTGACACACCCCCATAGTCAAAGTGGGGTATAATCAACAGAGCAAGCAGTCATAAAGCAGGTTCACAAGTACAAGTAAAGCTAGAGGCATTCACAAAGGGCAAGTGAGGAGGAGGAGGCTGGACTGTGAGAGGAGAGGAGATAGGAGGTGACGGCTGATGCTGCAGACACACGGGCAACAGGAGCGGCACGCACTGTGGCTACCGGGGCCGTATCCCCGGACTACAGGAGTAACTGGCTCTGCGGCTAACTCTGAGCGGCAGGAGCAACGGACCCACAGGCGACAGGCGCAGCAGGCTCTCTGAGCTACCAGAAGCAGAGCCCCGGACTACAGGTGCTGCAGACGACAAGACGGGAGCCTCCGCTCAACCTCCCCTAACTGTCCCACCCCCCTTTCACACACCCCTTGCTGCACCCCTAGCTCCACTCCCACATCACCCCCCTAGCACCACTCCCTAGGCTCCCACACACCCACCCCCCTCAGCGGCAGCTGCAGCAGTGGGAGACGAAGGTGGAGGAGGAGGGGACGGTTCACACACCCGCCACCCCCATACCCTCCCCCCACTACTGCACCTGCAGCAGGGGATGGAGGAGAAAGGGGGGGGGGGCTGTGCATGGCGCGTGCAGAGGGCAGCAGGGCGCACGGGGCGCACAGGGCAGCAGGGCGCACTGGGCAGCAGGGCAGCAGGGCGCGCGGGGCGCACAGGGCTGCAGGGCGCGTGGGGCGCACAGGGCAGCAGGGAAGCAGGGTGCACAGGGCTGCAGGGCAGCAGGGCGCACGGGGCAAACAGGGCAGCAGGGCGCACAGGGCTGCAGAGCAGCAGGGCGCACAGGGCTGCTGGGCAGCAGGGCGCGCGGGGCGCGCAGGGTTGTAGTGCGCGCAGGGCGCGCAGGGCAGCAGGACAGCAGGGCGCGCAGGGCGCGCAGGTCTGCAGGGCGCACGGGGCGCAGCAGGGCTGCAGGGTGCACAGGGCTGCAGGGCAGCAGGGCGCGCGGGGCGCGCAGGGCTGCAGGGCGCGCGGGGCGCACAGGGCTGCAGGGCGCGCGGGGCGCACAGGGCAGCAGGGCAGCAGGGCGCACAGGGCTGCAGGGCAGCAGGGCGCGCGGGGCAAACAGGGCAGCAGGGCGCACAGGGCTGCAGGGCAGCAGGGCGCACAGGGCTGCAGATCCCCTCCCCCCCACCGCTGCACCCGCAGCAGGGGGATGGAGGAGAAGTGGGGGGGGAGGGGGCTGGGGGGGGGGGGGCTGATGCTGCAACTCCCCTCCCCCCCACTGCTGCTGCAACTCCCCTCCCCCCACCGCTGCTGCAGATCCCCTCCCCCCCACTGCTGCACCCACAGCAGGGGGATGGAGGAGAAGGGGGGGGGGGGGGGGGGGGCTGGTGCTGCAGATCCCCTCCTGCCTCACCCTGAACCTCCAAGCTCCCCCCCCCTCCCAACACAGGGTGAGGCAGGGATAGAGAGAGGAGAAAAGGGCAGGGGGGGGGGGGGGGCTGATGCTGCAAATCCCCTCCCCCCGCTGCTGCTGCAGATCCCCTCCCCCCCACTGCTGCACCCGCAGCAGGGGTGGAGGAGAAAGGGGGGGGGGGGGGCGGGGGGGGGGGGGCTGGTGCTGCAGGTCCCCTCCCCCCACTGCCGCATCCGCAGCAGGGGGAGATAGGAGAAAAGGGGGGGGGGGGGAGGGGGGCTGGTGCTGCAGATCCCCTCCCCCCCCACTGCTGCACCCGCAGCAGGGGGGAGGTAGGAGAAGGGGCGGTGCAGGAGCCGCTCGGGCGACAGCAGGTTGGCCACACCCGCCACCCCCATACCCTCCCCCCACTGCTGCACCCGCAGCAGAGAGATGGAGGAGAAGGGGGGGGGGGGGGGCGGGGGGGGGACTGGTGCTGCAGATCCCCTCCTGCCTCCCCCTTAACCTCCAAGCTCCCCCCCCTCTCCCACCACAAGGTGCGGCAGGGAGAGAGAGAGGAGGAGGCGTGGCGGCAGCTGCTGCTGCTGAGGCACATCCGCCACCCCCTCACACCCTCTCCCCGCCATCCCCATGGAGGAGGGGGAGGGGGGGGAGGGGGGCGGGGGCGGAGCTGCACGTGCGACTGCAGGGCACGCGGGCAGGAAGTCATCACCCCTCTTGCCATAGTTAGGGGCGACGAGGCCAGTGGGGCCGAGGGGCGCAGCTAGGTACGGGGCCGTGCGCTGGGCTAGGGACGGGGCCGGGTGCTGGGCAGGTACGGGGCTGGGCGCTGGTCAGGTACGGGGCCGGGCGCTGGGCAGGTACGGGGCCGGGCGCTGGGCAGGTACGGGGCCGGGCGCTGGGCAGGTACAGGGCCGGGCGCTGGGCAGGTACGGGGCCGGGCGCTGGGCAGGTTTGGGGCCTGGCGCTGGGCAGGTACGGGGCCGGGCGCTGGGCAGGTACGGGGCCGGGCGCTGGGCAGGTACGGGGCCGGGCGCTGGGCAGGTACGGGGCCGGGGCGCGGGCTAAGTACGGGGCCAGGCGCTGGCGACAGACGGGGCCGGGTGCGGGCTAGGTACAGGCCGGGCGCTGGTGAGGGACGGGGCCGTTCGCGGGCGAGGTACGGGCCGGGCGGGGGGATGGGACGGGGCCGGGCGCAGGCTAGGTACAGGCCGGGCACGAGCTAGGTACGGGCCGGGCGCGGGGCTAGGAACGGGCCGGGCGCGGGCTAGGTACGGGCCTGTCGCGGGCTAGGTACGGGGCCAGGCGCGGGCGAGGTACAGGCCGGGCGCGGGCATGGGACGGGGCCGGGCATGGGACGGGGCCGGGCGCAGGCTAGGTACGGGCCGGGCACGAGCTAGGTACGGGCCGTGCGACGGGCTAGGTACGGGCCGGGCGCGTGCAGGAGACGGGGCCGGGCGCGGGCTAGGTACGGGTCTATCGCGGGCTAGGTACGGTTCGGGCAACGGGCTAGGTACGGGCCGGGCGCGGGCAGGAGACCGGGCCAGGCGCGGGCTAGGTACGTGCCGGGCGACGGGCTAGGTACGGGCCGGGCGTCGGGCTAGGTACGGGCCGGGCGCGGGCAGGAGACGGGGCCGGGCGCTGGCTAGGTACGGGCCAGGCGACGGGCTAGGTACGGGCCGGGCGACGGGCTAGGTACGGGCCGGGCGTCGGGCTAGGTACGGGCCGGGCGCGGGCTAGGTACGGGCCGGGCGACGGGCTAGGTACGGGCCAGGCGCGGGCAGGAGACGGGGCCGGGCGCGGGCTAGGTACGGGCCGGGCGACGGGCTAGGTATGGGCCGGGCGACGGGCTAGGTACGGGCCGGGCGACGGGCTAGGTACGGGCTGGGCGCGGGCGACGAAGTCGACGGGGCCAGCGGGGCCGAGGCGACGGGGCCAAGGGGCCGAGCCTAGGGGCTAGGGGCGACGCCAAGGGGCGACGGGCCGGGGCCTAGGCTAGCAGGGCAGTAGGTGGTGGGCCCATTAACATTAGGTCCTAGGACTAATTGCTCTTAATACCATGTTGAAATACTAGCGTGACTTAGGAGCCATGGCTAGTGAGTGTCGAGAGAATTGAGTGTCGAGAGAATTGGAAAGGAGAATGAGGTTTCACTATAGAAAGTTGGGATACAAATAGCAAACCCTAAATTGGGTTGTACTCACTACAAAGTACCCCACTGCAGGCTAAACAGCAAATACATTCTGACAATCTCCTGACGTCCGTGCCTTTCGCGCTCGGATCGAACGCCTCTGGTAGCCTCGGACGAGCAGCTTCGGGATTCACTATAGCGGGTGCTGCTGGTGAAGTGTGAAATGTCAGTGTTGCCACTGTTGCTGCTGCCGTCATGCTGCATTCGCTGCTGCGTTTGCTGCTGTTGTGGTGGCAGCCGACTGGTTCGCGAGCATCGCCTCGATTCGTTGAAGCGTCGCGCGAGTATGGCCTTGCTCGTGGCGCGGAGGGCTGCAATTTCTTGAACAAAATTGTCGCCCTGCCCCTCCATGCCTGCTAACATCATGTTCAAAAACCGGGTTGAGGGGGACCGGAAATAATACGCGGAAGTGGTTTACGTACCCGAATCGGCGCTTTTCGTCGTCGCCCTCGCGGTTTTTTTAAGGCTGGTTTTTTTTTTTTTTACGAATACTGTCGCGTGTAAACGAGCTCTGATTACCAAGTGTGAGGATTGAGGAACTGGTTTAGAAATAATTGATTGATCACCTGGGTACAACACGGGGCTATATATAGGCTCGACACAAGGCAAGGTAACCAGGTGTTACGTGAAGGTTCCGAGGGTCGCGAAGCGTCCGGAATGGGTCCTTTCGGAATTCGGTAGAAGCTGATTGGTGTGAACCAAAAAGCACTGAATCGGGTGCATGCAACCTATTTTGGTGCCTATAACTATAATAACTATTGTTAAGCAACGAAACTAGGAAATCAAGCAAAAGCATGCAAGATAAAATAAAACTAAGCAACGTAAAGCATAATAAGTTCAATCCACGTAGGTTAAGTCGTCGTACTCTCACACGCACGGTTGTCGAATCCGTGCGGACGATGCTTCTTCACAAAGGCGTGAAGCATCACTGTGTCAAACTTATATATGCTATAGTCTGTTTAGGCTGTAGTGGGGTAGTTCTTAGAGGGTACAACATTTTGTGTTTCCTACATGTACCCATCTCCTTTCTAGTTTCATCAATTCTTCTCGTTAATTCTCATATGGTATAGAGCAGGTCCCCTAGTGGGACTGTTTCTTCCTAAGGGCCCACCACGTTTAAAGTTTTTTTTTTTCCTGCCCGAAGCGCGCTTCGCGCACTGCCCTGACCTACCCCTACGCGGCCCCTTAGCGGCCCCTTCGCGGCCCCCTAGCGGCCCCTTCGTGGCCCCCTAACGGCCCCTTCGCGGCCCCCCTAGCGGCTCCCTTCGCGGCCCCTTCACGGCCCCTTAGCGGCCCCTTCGCGGCCCCCCTTAACGGCCCCTTCACGGCCTTTTCGCGGCCCCCTAACGGCCCCTTCGCGGCCCCCTAAGGCCCCTTCGCGGCCCCTTATCGGCCCCTTCGCGGCCCCTTAACGACCCCTTCGCGGCCCCTTATCGGCCCCTTCGCGGCCCCTTACCGGCCCCTTCGCGGCCCCTTTTCGGCCCCTTTGCGGCCCCTCAGTGGCCCCTGCTAGCGACGTCGCCCCTGCCCGCGGCGTCGCCCCTACCCGCGGCGTCGCCCCAGCCCACGGCATCGCCCCAGCCCACGGCGTCGCCCCTGCCCACGGCGTCGCCCCTGCCCACGGCGTCGCCCCTGCCCACGGCGTCGCCCCTGCCCACAGCGTCGCCCCTGCTCGCGGCGTTGCCCCTGCTCGCCGCGTCGCCCCTGCCCACGGCGTCGCCCCTGCTCGCGGCGTTGCCCCTGCTCGCCGCGTCGCCCCTGCCTGCTGCCACAGCCCCTGCTGAAGCGGCACCTGCAATCGCGGCCAATACCCTGCTGGCGCGACACCTGCTGCTGCGGCCCCTGCTGTCAAGGCCCGGCCCCGCGCCCGCTCCTGGTAAGCACCCGAGCCGCCCTGCCGAGCCACGCCGCCCGGCCGAGCCGCGCCGCCCAGCCAAGCCGCGTCGCCGAGCCGAGCCGCGCCACCCAGCCGAGCCGCGCCGCTCAGCAGAGCCGCGCCGCCCCCACCAAACCGCACTGCCCTACTGAGCAGCACTGCATTGCACTGCCCTGCTGCTATTGCTTCTACTGCTACTACTGCTCCTACTGCTGCTATGGCTAGTCCTACCGTTCTCACCTTTGATGCTAAGGGACGTGCAGTTGATTTTGACGTGTGGGTTGACGACCTACAGCTCTTCCTTCAGTGTGATTCTAGGGATGGGGTGTCCCTCTTCTATCACACATCCGGTGTTTCCACTGCTCCTGCTGCCACTGCTGACAGTACTGTTCGCTCGCAGTGGACCACTTGTGACGCTGTTGCTCGTCTTGCTGTTCGTAGTCACCTACCGCCTGCTGAGCGCGCGCATTTTGGCCAGTACAAGACTGCTCAGTCTTTGTACGACGCGGTAGTTGCACGCTACTCCTCCCCTGCCACTGCTGCCCTCAGCCGCCTCATGCTACTGTACCTTTTCCCTGACCTTGCTGCCTTTGCCACTGTCGCTGACCTAGTTGCTCACCTTCGCACTAGTGACGCCCGCTACCGCGCTGCCCTTCCCACTGAGTTCTGTGCCAAGAACCCCCCCCCCATGTACATCACCTTGTACTACCTAGTCACCCGCCTCCCTGACTCTCTCTCTTCAATCAGGGACCACTTTCTCTCCCTTTGCCCCACCGAGCTGACTGTCGACCTGCTAGAGGAGCACCTTGCTGCAGCTGAGAAGAGTATCTTAGCTGTAGGTGCTTCTCGCGGCGACCGTCGCACCCCCTTCTTTGAGGGGTGTTCCCCTGTCCCCCTTCTCCCCTCTGTTGCTTCTGCTGCTGCTGTCGACCTCGTTGGCACTGAGGAGGTCGGCGCTGCGTCTGCCTCTAGTGGGAGACGCCGCACCAGCAAGGGCAAGGTGAGCAAGGGTGGTGGAGGGGGCGGCGGGGGAAGCAGTGGAGGAGGTGGAGGCGGTGGAGGTGGTGGTGGGGGTGGTACTGGGAGTGGGGGCGTCAGTGGCGGCGGTGGAGGTCGTGGCGGCGGTGGCGGAGGAGGTGGAGGCAGCGGCAGCGGTGGTGGAGGTAGCGGAGGAGGTGGTGCTGGTCGAGGTGCAGCCGCGCAGCGTGGAGGCTTTGGTGGCGGCCAGCGCCAGCCGCAGCTGCGCACCCGTGAGACCCCGTCGGTTCAGCAGCTTCGTGAGTGGTACGCTGGGCGTGGGAGGTCTGGGGGTGCAGGTCCCTGCACTTACGTTCTTCGCACCGGCACTCGTAGTGGGGAGGTGTGTGGGCTCCCACACACCACGCAGCGCTGCTTCGGTCGCTTGACTGACGCTTGGCGTACCCATTTTCCTGACGCCGTTGAGCTTCCTCGTTGGCATGATCTGCTTCTTCAGAATGTGCCTATCTTTGATCTAGACTTTGATGCTATCCTTGCTGCCATGTATGCTCTTGCTGATAGTGCTGAGGGTGACTGTTACCTGAGTGTCCTGCCCGACCCGGGCATTGCGGCTGCTGCTCTAGGTGCTAGTGCGTCTGCTGCTCCAGGTACTAGTGCGTCTGCTGCTCCAGGTGCTGGTGCGTTTGCTCTCTCTGGTACTGCACCTACTGCGTCCTTGCACACTTTCACACTTGACTCTGGTGCTTCGCGCTCTTTCTTTAGAGACAACACCACGCTCACGCCGCTCAGTCGGCCTGTTGCGGTCTCCCTTGCTGACCCCTCCGGGGGCCCAGTCCTTGCACACTCCTCCACGGTTCTACCGTGTCCTGCGGCCCCGTCGGGCTTGCTGTCGGGACTCCACCTCCCCTCGTTCTCTACGAACTTGGTGAGTGGAGCTGACCTCCAGGACGCGTGGGTTGACCAGTTCACCCCTGGAGGTCAGCGTGTGACTCACTGCACTTGCTCTCGAACAGGCCGCCACCTGGCCACGTTCACCCGTAGGCCAGGGTCGAGTCTGTACACACTGACTACTGCGCCTCCTCCGGTCCCTGCGTCTGGTCAGGTAGCTGCGTGCAGTCAGGTGTTTGCTGCCGCGTCCAGGTCTCGTCCTGCGTCTGCCCCCTGCTCGTGTCGTCCTCTGGCGCACGAGACTCTCCTCTGGCACCACCGCCTTGGTCACCCCTCCCTGCCTCGTCTTCGAGGTATGGCCTCCCGTGCTCTTGTCTCTGGACTCCCCAGGTCCCTCCCTCCCCTT